AGGTTCTGAAGTTAATGATTTTAAATATGATATTTTGTTTTTAGAATTGAAAAGATATATTTATTTGTCAAAGAGAAAAATCGTGTTACCTACAATACCTGGTTTTAGAAATAGTCTTAAATTGGCGTGGAATATTTACAAAAATACAAATTTGACCAAACATGTAAATGAAGGATGGCAAATTGTAAGAACTTTAATAAACTAATAGGCTACACTAAATCAATTTACCCCAAATCAATATTCTTTGTTTGTTTTGAAGCTGTTGCATAATACATTATCATACATAATTGTTATACATATTATATGAAAATTGATTGAATGTTTGAATATAATGTATATTATAATTATATAAAAAATATTATTATAGATGATGATTTAAATATTATGTAGATATCATGTAAGGTATCATAGGGATGACCCCGACCCTCTCATACCTATTACGGGGTAAATAAACGGGGTTACCCAGTTGGGGCCTCAAAAAAAAAAAAAAAAAAAAAAAAAAAAAAAAAAAGATATGAACCGGTTTCACGTGTATTCAATGTTAACTATACAATGCAATTGTATTGTATTGTAGTGTATCGATGTTAACTGCAAAAACTATTGTTGCATTTAAAAAGATATGAACCGGTTTCACGTGTATTCAATGTTAACTATACAATGCAATTGTATTGTATTGTATTGTATTGTATCAATGTTTACTGCAAAAACTATTGATGTATTTAAAAAGACATGAACCGGTTTTACGTGTATGCAATATAAACAGTTAGTAAATAGAATAACCTGTTGCTACATATAAAATGATATTAACCAGTTTCTTGTACTGTAAGAATTGTTGTGTTACTGTATGCAAAGATATAAACAATAGTATTTAATTTACACCGTAATAACTGTTGAAATTTTCATTTATATGAGCTTGTTTCTGGTGCATTCAATATAAAATGTAAGAACTATCACTGTTAATTTACAAATATGAAGTTTGGTGCAATGCGTTACTTTTTCTGAATGGACTTTTCATTTTGAAACTGTCTATGATCAATTTTAGGGGCATTACCATGTGAAATTTGAGGTTAGTCAGCCACTCGTATAGTCAACCACTTGTAAAGTGAGCCACTTGTATAGTCAGCACCTTATATAGTCAGGCATTTGTATAGTAAGCAACTTGTATAGTCAGTCATGTGTATAGTAAGTCACTTGTATAGTCAGCCATTTGTTAAGTCAGCCACTTGTATAGTCGGCAATTTGTAAAGTCAATCATTTGTTTATTCAGCTATTTGCACAGTCCACCACTTATATATTCAGCCACTTGTATAGTCAGCCACTTGTATAGTCAGTCACGTGAATAATCAGTCATTTGTATAGTCAGCCATTTGTATAGTCAGTCATTTGTATAGTCAGTCACTTGTATAGTAGTCACGTGTATAGTCAGTCATTTGTATAGTCAGTCATTTGTATAGTCAGTCACTTGTATAGTAGTCACGTGTATAGTCAGTCATTTGTATAGTCAGTCATTTGTATAGTCAGTCATTTGTATAGTCAGTCATTTGTATAGTCAGCAACTTGTATAGTCAGTCACTTGTATAGTCAGTCATTTGTATAGTCAGTCATTTGTATAGTCAGCCATTTGTATAGTCAGCCATTTATATAGTCAGTCACTTGTATAGTCAGTCATTTGTATAGTCAGTCATTTGTATAGTCAGCCATTTATATAGTCAGTCACTTGTATAGTCAGCCATTTATATAGTCAGTCACTTGTAAAGTCAGCCACTTGTATAGTCAGCCACATGTATAGACAGTCACTTGTATAGGCAACCACTTGTACAGTCATATGTTCATGTATTACAAATATTTTGTGAAAAGATAGCCACGTATATAGGTGGGACAGTGAAAAAGATGATGAGCCCATAGAAGCTCACTGTTTCTAAAGGATTAATAGTGTATTTATCGATGCATTAATGTATAAATGAACAACAGTGACAGTTTAGTTACCATGTGTGATGAAGATATTTGAATTGAAGCACGAATAGCGACGGAATATGACGAATATTGTCAAACATACAGGAACTGTTGATGGTTGACGTGACTGAATGATACTTGACGCGTGATATATGTCTATTTCATTTGTTGTTATAAAAAGGTGTACAAATTTCTTAAATAGATATATTAATTTCTGTAAGCGTGTGAATTTTGAGCATGGTTATTTCTAATTGCACCCAAAAAAGTTATTTCTATATGCACTTATCAATGTACATGTGTACATATTCAAACTTCGTCGTCATGTATAATTATATACAAGATTTAAGAAACATCTTTAACAAACTAGTCTTACCTTTGACATCTACATCCCATTTAGGATGTCCCGGAACTCCGCCATGCTTGGCGCGCATGCTCCGGCGGCCATTTTGAAAAAGCAATCAACTGTCGTCTGACGATCACAAGTTCACTGATGAAAAAGAGAGAAGAAAAAGCAGACTACACTTGTCTGTCACTGTAACACACTTTCCGATAACTAGTCAAATTTTATGTCAACGCATTGCCGAATTATGACAAAAATACTCAAAGCGATAAAACACGAATCTCCATATTTTTTTAAAACCCGACTGATATCTTCTCAATAATATTGGTCTACGGCTTTGATGACTAGCTTCTAAATACGGATTCTGCAACTCTGTTCCGCATAGAAAATGAGACAAGTATCGATCTGTTGCCGTGTGGTTGAGCAAAGCATCATAGAACCACAAAGCTATAGAAATTCCATACTTCCCACTGAAATGTCGTCAGTTAACTTTAAGCGATGTATACTAATTGAGATATCGAACTTGGTTATTATAGCCTTGAATAGTTTTCACTATTATTTCTTTTCGCTCTCTATTTTTGCTCTCTTTCTCTTGCTAAAGCTAAAAAAATAGTTCTCGGCGGAGTGGTAATGTACATATGAATCCTCTCGTGCTACAGCAATCTACATGGCAGTGGAACGATCTTTTTGATCAAATTATCTTGCATAAAACATGCACTATATTGATCAAGGTGTCCGACCACTGCATAAAACAACTGTATTATTTTTCGTTCGATTGTTTCTCTATGGTTATATAATCATACAACTCTAATCAAATGTAGGGGCATCATGCGATCTTCATATAATTCGCAAACTTGAAAGAACTTTTTATGAGAACTATTTTATCGTCTGCAATTACACGTTACATAATGCGTTTCCAAAAAAAAAAACTTCATCAAGATCCGTCTGGTGGCGGCATTGAATCTTCATTTGTGACGTCATCACATTTTCTCCAAGCGTTTCTTGGATTTTTAATCCTGCATTCATTTTAACAACACCTTAAATTTAGAGACATTGTTTTGCATATTTAGATTGAAATTATTGATTCATGTGCTGTTGCTTTCTGGATTACTTCATTTATGCAATTTGCAGTTTTACTTACGCTGATAAACTGTATTTTAAATTATTCAAATTTAAACGATTATAGTTTTTGTATTTTACAGTTATAACATTACGAAATTTACAAAGTTTCAATTTGTGCGAAAGTCTTGAATAAGATGTACATGTACTTTGAAATGTCAATAAATACAACTGAAATTTTAAACTACCAATGCAACAGTTCAGCATAGGCCTATGTAATGTTCTTAACTGTTATTGTCACAGCATTGATATGAACGCACTTATGACGAATCAATGATCTCGTGAGGTCATATTGGTATTCTTTTTTTTTTCTCTCTCTCTAAACGGCACTAAACGTTTCTCCCGTGCATCTTTAGACATTAAAGTATATACATGTAATATATATATTAAAACTGGATTTTTGTACTTCCACCAGGGCATATTTTTGTTTGTATATGGTCATTCAAATAAAAAGCACTCAAAGGGATGAACAAATTTTATTCAACTTGTTACGCTCGCAGATTAGTTTAACTAAACATGTTTAAAAAAATAAAAATTTAGGTCATAAAAAATTGTTTTTGAACTATGCTTTAAATCATACTTTTTTTTGACATGTGATCACGTTCAGGCAACCACCAAAAGCATGTTCTCAAACAATTATCAGTGCTTAAATACAAATCCCAGTGAAATATTCATTGCTTGAAAGAGACAATACTAATGGGTTCCAACTGGTTCAATATACATTTACATTTGCTTTGCCCCGCAATTTTAAATATCTGGTACATGGCAAGAAAATGTTATTTTACGGTAAATATGGTACATGTACATTGTCAAAATGTTTCTGAATATACCAGGACAAATTGCATTTCATGCTCGGAACAACTCGTCGACTAAAAAATGTTTGTCAAAATGGCCGAAAAGTTGCGATTGTGTTAAAGGGCGCATAGTCTGGTCCCCAGCGTATTTCAATCGCAACGTTATCGGCTAATGTCTATAATAACCCGAAGACTAACTGAAAGGGCCGAAAAGTTGCGATAGAGCGTACTTCTAACAGGGTTTTTCAAAAAGAAGGTCTATTTGAAAGACCCTGATGAGAAGGGACAGGTACCATGGAAACTTAAACATTAATCGTCTTATTTTATTAACTAATTTTGAATAAGTAAGTATTTCGACGGCTTCGAAATTTCTTAAGTTATCTACATGTATTTCTACATTAAAGTTATATGTTATTATTTTTGTAAATCAACTGAGAAATGTGTATGAGTGAAAAATGATTTATGTATGGCAACTATATTTTATTATGTGGAATATTTTGTGGTCCATTTGTCATCATCGTAAAATATAAAATTTCTTGATTTGTTTTATTACATTATGGTTGGTTTCAATTCTATTTTCAATTATGCTGGCTTGTTGGAATTTCAGTATCGTTTTTAAATTCCATTAATATATTCATTTCAAGCAATTTTAGCCTGTCATATGAGTATCTTATACTAGTCTAATAAATACATGTATTACTAAAATACCTTCTTATAACGACATTTTACATAGTGTGACGTACAATTCGCGCGCGCAACGTTAATTACGTCATAATCAAGCGTTACCTATAGCATCAACGCCAAAACGTCAGCGTCACAGTAATAAAATATTTCCAGTTTGAAAACATTTTTTTAAACTGGCAGAATTTTTACAATCATAACTTGATATATTAACAAATACCGAAGGTACGGGATATCCAATGTACTAGGTTGGTTTGTCGTATAAGCTTTTTTACGTACAGCGCAAAGATGGATTTTAACCAAACCAGCCAACATGTTCGAGATTTGGATGAGAGTTGTGGGGTTCCTATGTGTATTTATTGGACGACAGAGGAACTGGCTGACTGGATATGTGAAATAGGATATCCTCTATATAGGGTAAGATCTGTTATATGGCTAGAGGACCAGTAATGTGATACCGAAAGTACATTTGAGAAATCGCTATAAAAAACAGAAACTATATTTTTTTATTTTTTTTATTTATTGTATATCTGTAACATATACTTTTAAGGCATATAAATCATATAGCGTATGAATATCAAAGGGACTCCACGAAGGAATTTTTAGATATTTGGAAATATTTCTCGAGATTTTTGCACCATTTAATTAATGTAAGTCTGATACAAAAACTAGAACGGAAACTTTTCAATCACCCCGTTTTTTTTCCAGTTTTATGATTTTTATTGAGCTAAACTGTCCGAAATTGAATTGAACAACATTTAAACGGATTTATAATAATGGGGCAGAAAAAAAGGGTATTTAATTTGATTTTAAGTATATTTCTTTATCATCTTTTGCATATTTTAATATTGTTCTAAGAACAAAGTTTGATCTTTGTACGAATTCTAAATTGCATAGGATTATTTAAAGCATTTGAACCTTGGTGGAGTCCCTTTATATTAAAATTGTTGTAATCATAAATTTTAATTTGCAGCATGTTGTCATAAATGTACTTTATTAATCAATTTTCATAGAACTATTTGTAAAAATAAATAACTCCATTTCAGGAAAGCATTGAACTAAACAACGTCACCGGTCGTCATCTCATATGTCTAGATGCGTCCAAGCTTCCAGAAATTGGAATAACAGATTTTGAACATATAAAGGTAGTTGCTATACAAGTTTACAGTTCTGTTTTGACATACGAAATACAAGTTGGACTTAAAGGCCCATTATGTCTTAGAAATGCTATCAATTTTATTTCTGAAAAGCTTTTTTATTCTTGGTTTCTTGTTTCAGTTTCCAAAAAAATACTTATTAGCCATATTTATGAACTCTGTCTTGCTACTTGTTCTGTTGGCAATTGATATAATTATAGCGAATAGTATTTTGTATAGAAGTCGAGATATTACTTTGTTTAGATCTTTGCTGCTTTTGCGACACACTACTGCACGTTCAGTCCTGCTTTCTTAAGTTGTTAAACACCCTCACCTGTCCTCAAACCATTATTAAAACATTATTAAACACGTGTTTGACATATCTTAATAATTAAAAAAAGAATTTCTGAGGCCTAATGCGCCTTTAATCTATAGTAGATTCCGCTTAGTAATTGGTGGAGTGGTTGCTGGTTCGATCTTCGGACGAGGCATAATCTGTCCATGAACATTGAGTCGAATGATCATAAGTCTCTCAACGCTGGTTCAGAAATCATCTGGAATAAGTATTCGGTAAATATTCGGAGAAATTGATTATATCTGGTTAGTTAACCAGGAAAGCCGGTTAAGTGGGGCGATCGTCGAGATATAACCAAACATACGTTTAAAATTGGCGTAAAAAAAGCAGAACAAAAATCAAGTTGTGCTTTGCGAAATTATCAGAAAGAAACTGTTACTGTTAAAAAAATGTGAAGCCTAGTCTCAAACTCGCCGCCATTATTCAGCAGACGAACCATTTCATACTTCTTTTTGCGTACATTTTTAACAACATGTTCATTTCTATTTAATTTTATGTCTACACTAAACGTTATTCATGCCATTTTTATATAAAAGCTGCATGCCTCCTGATAGGCCAAGAAAATCAAACTTGAGAAAAAATGTACGAAGAGTTTAGAATAAACTCAAGATTCAAGTAATAATTTACATGTTATGTGCGATTAATTCTGATTTTTTCAGTATTTATTTACTATATTTCTACTGCATGACTAACGTAGTACTTTAAGCTGTGTTTGCATATTTTGACCTGTTTTTGATAATTAACGTGGAATGTAAGTGTCCTTTACAATGTGTAAATTACTTTTGTTTGTTCTCTTTTGATTTTTTTAATTTTCATGAAAATAAGCATATACCTGGAGGTATGCTGCTTTAAAGTCAACCCTTTGACTAAGTTGTATGTTTAATATACTAGTATATCTAAAAAGTCAATCCTATGGAAGGAATTAAGCAAAAACACGTTCCTCGAGTATGTAAAATTTTATTTTAACTGGTCTAATAAACCCCTTCGTCAGGATATGTCTAAACAAATTTTTGGGGTTACAATACACTATTGCTGAATTTGTTGAAGGGGGTAAAATATGCGCAGTATAAAGATACGAGAATATATTTAATATTAGACATGAAACAATATGCTCCCAGCATGGTAACCCAGTCGCCCATTACAATTACCCTCGTGACTGCGGGTACGAATCAACCTAGGCACGAAAGTCTCGGGACTAACAAACTACCAATCCTTAAAAACTAGAAATAATGCAAGAATGAGCTCATTGTTAATAGAAAAAAAAATTAAGAAAGAAACGCACCTTATTAATACATGCAGATATTTTCTCTCTGAAAATGTCAACAAAACAAAACAAAAATCCCGTAAACGCATGAATTCTTCCAAAAATTCAATCTTTAAAAGTAAACAAGAATGACTTGGGAAAATCTAATCTTAGTATTGAACATTTTCTTTAATCTCCGTCGTTAATTTAACAAATCTAAGAGACAGGCGCATTTGCTTCTTAAATGTGATAGGCGGACATCGATTTTTTCTGTGAAAATTCAAAATCTAAAACATTAATTAGAACTATTTTAAATCCAATTTCATCGATTTGTTAGAAGGAGAGAGAGAGTTTTTTGTTGTGATTTTTTTTTGTGTTTACAAAGTTGTCAGTAAATTCAAACGATCCATTAATGTTTTACAAACGCCCACGATTTGAACCGTGATTATTTTACCCATTTGTTATTGTTAGTATGTTTTAATAGTAATACAATATGAGAGTGATTGAGCGGGTCTTAGAAGTGATTCCACTAGGAATAATCGCTCTTTAAAAGCAGTATTTTTAAAGTCTTTGAGATACCTTGAACGTATTCTTAACTGATAGTTTTGTATTATTTGATGTTTCTTATTGTATAATTTGTACATAAATAACACCAATTAAAGGAATTCCACTGAGGTGCGAAAACCTGACAATATAAAATTTGATAGATCAAGTAGGGCTCTTAAAACAGAAAAAAATGTAAAAGATATTATTATTTATTTATTTATTTATCATCATCATCATCATCATCATTGTTCTTCTTTTTCTTCTTTCTCTTTCTTCTTCTTCTTCTTCTTCTACTTCTTCTTCTTCTTATTATTATCATTATTATTATTATTATTATTATCATTATTATTATTATCATTATTCTTATTATCATCATCATCATCATCATCATCATTTTTATTATTATCATCATCACCATCACCATCATCATCATCACTATTATTATAACTTTATCTGTGTTTAAATTCATATATATATGGTTTTTGTATGTTTGCCTAAGTAAAACATTATATAAACTAATATAAAGAAAGTGTTAAACAAATACGTGTAGGTCTTTTATTAAAGTGGTTCAGTCTACAATGGGCACATTTTCCATAATTATTACAAATATTAATAAAATCAATAGAAATAGAATCATGTGGATATTCTTATGAAATATTTCTTTAAAAAATGTTGATAAAAATCTATTAAGTGATGTAGAATAAACATTTATATGATGAATATAGTAGTATTTTACTCTAGAACAGTTTTTATCCGCCATATCAATATATGAAATATCCCATCATGTCTGTCAAACTTGCCAACAACTTTCAAGTAAGATTCTATCGCAGTTTGTTGTTATCTCTAATACTAACTATTTTCAGAGTAATTATTCATTGTATTACAGCCCTTGGTCAATTTACTTTAAATATTTCGCAACTTTTCATTATCAGACGTAGAAAGTGTATAAAAAGGACCAGACGTAGAACAATAACTTGAAAGTGACGATGTCCGTGTATGTGTGTGTGTTTAAATTGTTTACCCTTGCGAACGCTAGTTATCTATAACAAGGGAAGTAACTACTATACAATATTCATTTAAATCTCAAGAGTTATTTATCTTGATTCCTACTTTGCTGACCAATACCGTGTTTTTACTATTTACAGGATATTGCGGCAAAGATTCGCGAACTTTTAGGCATTGATCATGTCATCAGGAATATAAACGACGCCACGTTGAGCCCTATGATGGCTTATATAAATCAGAAGAGGAAAACAGGAGCGATATCTGCCGGCCTTTCGTACAAGGACTTTCTTAAAAAATACAAGAGGTGGTACAGCGTCACATAAGTTACGCACAGTAATTATCCTTTGAAACAGTTTTCTGTGGGTATTTGAAGCGGAAAATCTTTTACTTCTTGTGTAATTCTTATCATTGATATTAGTGAGTATGTAAAGATTTTGATAATAAACTTCAGATGTACATGTGTATAAAAGAAAATTACGTTGTTAGAGGATTTCATGTTCTCTAGGTAAGAGATGCAACACTTGTTATAAATAAAGTACATTGTATTCATCATTCAAAGGGATTTGTTGTTGTTGATAAATAAATGATATGTTAATTCGAACAGCTGTGCTGTTGTGTTCTAAACAAAAAGTTCATACAGTTTATGTCTTTATCTTCTAAAAGCATAACTCCAGCAAATAAAATTGTCGCCCTGGATAAAAAGCGTTACTACATTTGACTGAAGTATACATATTCATGGTTATGTGCAAGAACATGTATAATATTAGTAGCAAACAACCTTTTGTTAAAGCAGCATGCCTCCTAATTCATGCGTATTTTCATGTTCTTTCTTTTAATGTATTAAAAAGTAAAATATTGATAAAGTGAACAAAGAAAGTAATTTACACATTGCAAACGGCACTTGGACTAAAATCTAAAAAAATTACCAAAAATAGGTCAAAATATGCAAAAATAACCTTTACTGCGTTAGTTACCCAGTAGAAATATGGCGATAAGTACTGCAAAAATCAGACATTAATTGCATAAACATGAAAATGTTTTCTTGAATTTTGAATATATTTACATTTCTTAAAATCTTAGAACATTTTTCTTAAGGATGAATATCTTGCAATAGATTGGGCTCATCTGGAGGCATGCAGCTTTAAACAGATGACATATCTTTAGTGAGAGAAGTAAGGACGAAACCCGATAAAGATATGAGCCGTGTCACGACAAAACCAACATAGTGGCTTTGCGACCAGCATGGATCCAGACCAGCCTACGCATCCGCTTACCAACTCTATTACAAGTAGAGAAACTGATAGCAAACAGCATGGATCCTGATCAGACTGCGTGGATGCGCAGGCTGGTCTGGAGCCATGCTGGTCGCAAACCCATTATGTTGGTTTTGTCGTGACACGGCTCATATGTGTGTCTGGCATGCGGAGTTTCCTTTGATTTCCAGCGTTTTTTATGGAAAGAAAAACAAGGAACACAATGTTGTCTTAGGAATCGAGTGATCAACATCACGTGAACAGTTCCATGGTAGCAGTCTGGTTCACAAAGATTTCTTACCGAAAATACGATGTACATTATGACTAATCATATAAACGTTTAAAACATTCGAAAACTGCAATGTCTGTGGGCTCAACAGAACAACATGTCTTGATCAAATACAGAGAGAGAACCACATATCATATATATAAAAAGTCGTTTTGAAAAAAAAAATATGTATTATTATTTAATTTTACCCATGAAATATGGTGCTATATCAGTCAAATATATTTCATATTTTTTAAAGATAAATATGAAATATAAATATGAAAGTGGGCGGAGTCAAAACTCATATTTATTTTAACGGACTTCTTTCGACATTCTGTTTGAAAAATCTGAAAATACAAAACAACTTTTTGTTGAATTTTGTTTTGAAAACTATCTAGAATGATAGAAAATGGTCTAACTAAGAAAATAAATCCGAACACCAATATCTTTAATTCAGTCATTAACGCTGTACAGACGTTTAAAGAGTTGTTTACGTGACGTCACAATGTAGCGCTAAATATCGCGCGCAAAACAAGACAATAATTATATTACTGCGCGCTGTACAATTGCAGTTGCGTAGCAAGCAAGGGGGTTCGTAACCATTTTTCTTTGATAATGAAATTAAATAAAAAGGTTATTTTTTCGTTTTTCGTGAAATATGGTATATATTTTCACTCAACATGATAAAATGGCACATATTTTCACTCGCCGTCCCGGCTCGTGAAAATATGTGGCATTTTATCATGTTGAGTGAAAATATATTCCATATTTCACTCAAACGAAAAAATATCCTCTTATTATAGACGTTGAAATATGATTTTTTTTCAAAACGGCTTATATTATTTTTTTATATAAATGATCAGTACCTGTGCAGGGTTTGACAAATATACACTTTAATTGGATTTTAAAGGCGTTTTGAGCTTCACACCCCAACTGTCTGTGAACAAATGAGGAAATTGTATTTTCTTCACGGATACCTTTTGTCCCAGTCACAGCTAACAAACCTATATTTTGTTTTTGTCACATTTTGTCCCAGATGTATTTACCGCATTAAATTTATGTAACCGTTTTTAAGCTTTTATTCAATAGAAAGTATCAAAATGATACATTTTGCAAAAAAAATGAAATTATATAGTGTTGTATGACCGTAAAACTAGTGAATCGGATAATTATACGTTTGCTTATAACACCGATAAGGGGTCAATACCCGATAGCCAATCGTTTTTCGAGATTGCTGAATGACCTTGAACCGGCTAATTGGCAAGAAAATGGCTTTGCTTCGACTCTCTTCTCCGTTCAAACAGGTATTTTTCAATAACTAAGAAATGCCAGTATATTTTGATGGTACAGTCTTTAAACTAAAACCACTTATAATCAATTCATATGGTTTTTTAACGCTGACCTTATCTTTAAAAGTAAACATTAATTGTTTTATAACTTGACCTAATTTCTGGACTAAATTTTGCAGAAATTTGTTCTATGACGCCTGAAAGAATTGTTGATATTTCAGTCAAATGCATTTGCAATATATAAGTCAATAGTCTATGTTGTCTCAGCACCTATCAACTTTTCGTATCCATACTCAACTAAAACGTAGAGAACACAAAACAAACACCCCCCCCCCCCCCCAAAAAAAAAACAAAACAAAAAACAAACAAACAAAAACAAACAAACAAAAAGCTAACAATTGCATATGAGCTGGTATGCAAGATTCAGTATGAATTTACCGGGGAAAGACAAATAGATGAATGCTATTGAGAAAAAAAACAGCATAGACTTCAGGGATTTTTTTTAGGCTTATTTTATAGCCGTTATTGGGTCATATTCCCAATTGAAAATAGTATATTTTTTTCCCAATCCCCAGGAAAAAAATTCCCAATTGAAAGTTACAGAATAAAAATATTGAATAAAAATTCTAAAGTCTTTGAAATAAGGGCTTCTTCACTGTAAGTGCTTAAATTTTTGAAGATGTCATCCTACACTGTAATTTGTTTGCATCCATTTAATCACTGTAAAATTTTAGTCATGCATTTTATTCCCAATTTTTAACAAAACACCTCTGAAATTCCCAATGCCATGGGTATGGGTCATGTTCCCAAAATCCTGGAAAAAATCCCTAGTTTGATTGCGTTGGAAGCTATCAACTTTAATATTTGTAACACACTGGAACCAACCAGTACTAAGCAATGAGTGTAAAGTTTCTTACACAAGGAAATAGACTCAGGGTTTGAACCCAGATGGCATCAATTTTCATATTACTAGTTTGAAGTGTTAACCACACAGCCACACCCCCATTCTAAATTGGTTTACCTTGCCAGTCTTATTGATTCTGAAAAAGTTTGATGAACAAAAGATGTTAAATAAGTTTAAAGAATTGGGCGAAACAATCTATGGAGGGAAATATTGTTGACCTCTTTTACCCAAAACCTCATGGACCATTAACCCCAAAAGTGATTACTCTTTATAACCATGAAGTCCAGGCTCAATACCGTGATTAAAAATAGCTTAATTTATGTGTTTCGATATTGAAATCACTTTAGTTTTATACAGACAGTCTGACTCACTCACAGTTTCAAAGCATTTACTAGTTGAGCATCAGAATTGCAGCCACTGTTTAACCCTGCATGATTGTAAGACACCACTAAAGGGTTCAAATTTATTTGAGTCTGCATTTCTTAGCTTCAGCAAGTGAGGCGGTTTTGACCCTTGGTGATGCTTAAAGTAATTTAAGTTGGTAATACCCTTGGATAGCCAAAATCATCTTTCCTGATTTGGTGCCATGTGACCTAAACTGTGTTGGTACACCATAAAACTAAACAAAATAAATGGGCAAGGCAAATCATTTAAATTCATTAGGCTAAGGGTTAACATTTTTAGACTAAAAATAAAGTTCTATTTTTATTTTCAGGTGACAAATTATGCACTCAGGCACTACTCTTCAAGTGCTGTAAGTATTACTTTCCATTCATAAATTTTAATTTTTCAATATCAAGCTATATTTTTTTATTGTTTGATTTTTTAAAATTGCTACATGTTTGAGTAGTATAAATGGTTTTTAAAACAAAGCAAGAATACAGTCAAACCTGATATGGCATTAGAAAATTGGGAAAAGTTGCTATTATCACATGATTGAAAGAAATGGGAATATGGCATTAAGAATTGGGAAAAGTTGCTAATACTACATGATTGAAAGAAATGGGAATATGGCATTAGAATTGGGAAAAGTTTCTTCAAAAAATGGGAGTAATTATGGCATTAAGAATTGGGAAAATTTGCTAATATAACATGATTGAAAGAAATGGGAATATACCATATATGACATGAAAAATTGGGAATAATGTTAGATTTTTCACAGAATTTGATACATGCATCACTTTAATATAGACATAATTTGTTTATATATGGATTAATCATTAAATTTTCTGTTACAGCCTGCCACAACAAAACTGTTCATTGATGGAAAGTTTATAGAGTCAAAGACAAACAAATGGATAGATCTTCATAACCCTGTAAGTTACAATAAAACATTCATAATACAATGAATCTTTCTGCCAGTGCAGTATCAAAATTTAGGTGAAATTACAGTATACTTTATACTAATATACAATCATTTAGGTCAAAGTTGACTTATTTTCCAATTGCCCATACTTTGTGCAAAATGGCCCATCATTTTCAGACCAAGTGGGCGCAGGGCCCTGTACTCTCAAATTCTCTGAAAATATTACTTTGTTTATTCCTTGGAGTGGACAGGGTTGTGTGTGGTGGGGGAGGGTCAGACTTATTATTTGAATTGTTTTATTGATTGACTTTGACATGATAATGTATAATCTGAAAATCATATAAAGGATGAGAAATGAAATGCTGGAGTCTAAAAAATGAAATTCATGTTCTGTTCTGTAATCTTTATGAGATCCTGTTTGTTAATGTATGTACAACGTCAAGAAAAATATCTTATTAGTTGACATATGAGTTATTAAATATCAGTTCTTTGATCATTTTACCTTCAAAGTTCATCAATGTTGTTATCTTTCATCTGAAAATAGTAATTATATTTTTAGAAAGAAAAAAAAACAGAACTTTTTTAAATATTTTAGTATTTAGTATTTTTTTTAGCATTAGATAGTTACAAACCCTCATGTCTCTTCAACAAAGTGTTAATAATGATAACCTGGGCTTGAATGGATACAGTTTTTAGCATTTTGACTGCCAAGCACTCTGTCCAAAAGTCAAAATGAGTTTGTCACCCTGTAAAATTAAGCTTAAAGATTTGATTCATTTGTGTATTTGCAATGACCCACTACAGGTATGCTACTTAAGAGGTATTTCACCTACCTGAATACTGTACATGTATAATACATGCTGTCAGCTTTTACTACCTTGATAAGGACCATGGAAATGAATACAGTATCTGATAATGACATTCAAAATGTCTGTTGACATTTCTATTGTGGTCTAGATTTCGGACATTCAAGTGAAGATTACATTTTGTATGGATTATAGTTTAATCTTATATCAATTGTTTGTTGTCTTTACTTTAAGAAAGAATTAGCAGTCATTCATTCTTTATCATTATGCAACCAATTATGAATATTGAGTTAAGTCTGCCTATGAATATTGACTGAAGTCTGCCTTATCTACAGACTACTCATTTTGTTCATCATGTCTAACATGGTTTTGTACCATTGTTTAATATTGAAATACCTTTAATTATGATAATGAGCTTTCCAAATTCAATGCAAGGCAAGTCCATTACTTAAAATGGGACATGTAGACATTAATAGGAGAGAATGAATGTGGGTTATAAATTTAGAAGTTTATTACCTAGGTTTATAAAGTGGCTAATATTTAGTGGTATATGACCTTTATTACTGCCAGGCTAAACAATTTAAGTATTGGCTTGATTGGATAAGATTGTAGATTACATTGCTACCTTTAAATCATAAGAAAGACACTTCATGACAATCAGCTAATTGTTTGATTTAACTAATTCAGCAATAACAGATAGCAGATATTGATAATATGTTATACATGTAGACAAATTGAAATATGAAAAAAAATAAACAAACAAAAACAGCCTAATGAAAGAACATTGCATTCAAACATGTTCATTTGTCAGTCTTCTTGCTAGCATTTTTACATTTATATAGCATTTTTAAATCGTGCATGCATGTTTGACTTGCAGGTTCAATTCAAGTTTGTACTATATGAGTGTCTATTTGAATTGCCAGATTTCAATAGAAAAATATTATGAGACCACAATGACTTATTGTTAGAAATGTTTTTTATTCTTCTGTATTCCTTTTTGATTTATTTCTTAAACTGTGTATTGACTGTTAAACGATATGAATGCAAGGGAGTTTATTTAAAGGGTATAAAGCTATATGTTATGAAATATTTTTAATGAATTTCAAACAGTAAAATTATATTGGTTTCATAACTAAACAAAATATTACTCTTCTTTTTTAAGTAGGGTTTTATCCATTTAGCAATTATTTCATGCATGCACCATTCGTTTTAAAAGCAATTTACTACTATATTTTTTCATACAAGCATTTTGTGAGTATTCTTTAAAATTCAAACAATTATTTAAAGCAACAGATATATAGCTTTATACGGTTTTAACTTTTGTTAGAGAGTAAATACATGGGTTGTTTTTTTTTGCGTAGAATGTTATGAACACTGTGTTTACATGAACACTTGATGCATTGTTTATGTAAATCTCCCTAGATGTTTACATTGATGAAATAATATATAAAATAAATTAAATGTCAGATATGTGCTATACTAAAATATACAATTTTTTTATCCTTGATTGCGTTTGATGAATATTATGGCCAAAAGATTTTTTATAAAAATAATGTTAATATTGATAATTCGTTATTTGAAGTAATATTGATGGCAATCTTACTTTCTTGTTTTCTTGTACTCAATTTATGTTTTACAAATCAATTTCAAATATACTTAAGAAAGATTTTATTAACCAAATTTCCTAAATGGACTTACCCAGCTTCTTTTGGAACAGTCCATTATCAATATAGGGATATCAAGATGAACATTTAAATTTAGTAAGTCAAAAGTATAGAGCCTTGTCAAACTGCACAAATGTGATGACAAGGGCTAATCATTTTTAGTTTGAGCTAGGTAAATGTTGAGATCAGGGTGTTAGGGTATAGGTTACAAATAGGCTGCTAGGTTTATGTTTGGCAAAATCATACAAGTTTGTGTACATTATAGTGCTTATGCATGAGTAAATTGTAACCATGGCCCCCTCACTCTAATGAAATAACTAAGACTTTCAAATTAACTACTTTATCGCAAAATTATACCAGTCTTGTGTACAATTTATACGAGTTTGTTTATTTATTTATGTCTGTTACTAGGCAACCAATGAAGTCATTACCAGGGTACCAGAGGCCACTCAGGAGGAGATGCAGAGCGCTGTTGATTCCTGTAAGAGAGCCTTCAAAACCTGGCAAGATTCCACTGTCCTCACACGCCAGCAGTGTATGTTCAAGTTCCAGCAACTGATCAAAGATAATCTGGTAAGAGATTTTGAATATAAGTGAATTTTGTAAGGGTTACCATAGTGCTTTTATTTTTGAAGATTCTAATACACATCCTTTTAATTTTAGTATGCATATACATGTACATGACTGTATGGGATAAGTTGTTATTTTGTTACTGGTATTTTAAGTTACAGAATGCCATTTACATGTATGCCTTAATCACTCAAGACATAACAGTATGTTACTCTGTTGTGTGCAAAGAATATGTTATTTTTGTATAAATATTGTTTCAATTGTAAAATAAAGACGTGTCCGAAAATGAAGGGCTGGTTAATACAGTTTTGTAAGTGTGGTCTTTTGACTATGGTAGGGTGTTATATTAAAGAGCTTAGTTAACTTTGTGGTCAAAAATAAGAATTGAATATGTCATATTTTTATACTTTTTTTCCTTCCAATTCTTACTACAGTCAGAGATTGCCAAATTGATTACTCTGGAACAGGGAAAGACTCTTGTTGACGCAGAAGGAGATGTTATGAGAGGGTTGCGTAAGTTTTTCATGTTATAGTTCAAATTTTAAACTTTAACCTGGTGCAAATATAATACTCGAAAACTACTGAAGAGGAATGGGTTGACATTGGGCACAATTACATGTATTTGAGAGAATAATAGGAAATCACTATCCAGGGCCTATAACTCTAATATGGATTTTGACTGAATTATGGCCCTTTTTGAACTAAGAAAATTCTACTGTACAGTAGCCTGGCTCTTGTTTTTACTATCAAGCACAGAGAATAGTGGAGCATGCTGCCCTACTGAAAGCTCTCATGTTTTGATTTTGAAATCCCTAAAATTATAGAATGGAATGTTTCTCGTACATTCAAAGCTTTGCAAAAATCTGTTGTTATGAATTTAATTGATTACAGAATATAAGTTCTAATTATTTGATATTTACAGAGGTGGTGGAGCATTGTTGCAGTATAACGTCACTACAGCTTGGGGAGACCATGTCCGGTATCGCCAAGGGTATGGACACCTACACTATCAGGCTACCATTAGGGGTCACTGCTGGTATAACTCCCTTCAACTTCCCCGCCATGATCCCCCTCTGGGTAAGTCGTCAATGGAAATAGACTAATATTCATTTTGTGAACTTAGTAGGAGTCTCTAAGTTCAGTCTTTTTTTTGTATATAATACAGACACATCCCTGATGTATAGAAATAGGTTTTTATAGACTTAAAAAATTAAAAAGTTTGGAAAAAATGGTAAATTAATATTATGTTGGATTCTCGTACATTTATACTGTATGTTATGTTCTAACTTGTGACAACTATTTAAGCAGTAAAATTAAAGTCAAATAACATGTAAAATATGACTTGGGGGGAAAAACTGTAAAATTATGCATCAAGTCAAAAAGCCTTAAAATCATTTAAAGTTTTGTTTAAAGTTTAGTTTGAATGAATATATCTTTATTGACTATAATGGTCATTTATTGCAGAATAATTATGACATATCTTGATTCTTTTGATGACACAGCTTTGTCTTTTAGCTTATAGTTTGTTCGTGCTTTTGTGTTTTTACTATGTTTACTAGGAACCCAGTATAAAGATTTTGCTTATTTGTTAAATATACTTTTTTCTGCTTTTTGGTAAAGAATACCTTTCAAATTATGATATGACATTCTTTTATTTTTGATTAATATAAAGTAAAGGTTTATCCAACAATCTTGGGTTTACTTATATTTACCTGCATTTTTTACAACAATAAATAAGAAAAGGAAACAAAACATGATAAAACACAAACTTAGAGTTGAAAGTTGTCATAATTTAGGTTAAAGTAGCTTTTGAAAGGTCTTCTTCAACCTTACGAGTCTCCTGCTTACAGGCTGACTGAAGTTAGGATGTACATGTGCATATTCATAGTATGTACATGTGCATATTTAATAGTATCATGGTTAATCTGTCTTAAGCAACAAGAATTGATTCTCAATCAGAAAATTGTGTAGATAATGTGTAATTTTATTTTTTTTATGATAACCATGATGTCAATTTTGTAAATGATGGCATGTATGTTGCCAATGATTTTCTTACACTGGAAACAGTTGGAAAAGATTTTTCCAGATTTGGGGTTAAAATTTAAGAAAAATGAATAAATTTTTCATTAATTTAAAAGACAATTGTCACTTACTTTTGCTAATATACTTAAATTTTGAACATCATAAATTTCTCCGAAAATTTTTTTTTTTTAAAAACATTACACAATTTCTGATTAAATGACTGTGGCTTTAGAAAGGCTTGTTTTAACTGAATAACCTATAACCTAAAATGCTCTGCCTTCAGATGTTTCCAATGGCCCTTATTACCGGTAATACGCATGTAATGAAGCCCTCTGAGCGCGATCCTGGAGCGACAATGTTCATGATGCAGCTGGCTCAAGATGCCGGCTTTCCCGATGGAACCGTCAATGTTATACACGGAGCGCACGCAGGTTTTTTTCATTTAATCATAAATACTCACGATCACAATTTTTTTTAAGGTTTTTTAAGTTTCACAGTAATTGATGTTATAACTAACCTTGTTGCAGATGTTTCCAACGGCACTTATTACTGGGAATACGATGGTTGTGAAACCGTCCGAGCGTGACCCCGGAGCTGTCATGTTTCTTATGCAGTTAGCTCAGGACGCTGGCTTCCCTGATGGAACTGTGAATGTAGTTCATGGAGCTAGAAATGGTCGGTTATTACATGTCCCAAGATTGAAGTTTCAAAAAGAAAAATCTGTTATTTTGTTGAGTTTTAATTTATTATTGTTTAAAGGTTTTAAGTTTAATACAGAAATATCAGTTTTATATTTCACTAAAGTATATTCTTGTGCATGATAAAGAATATTTTAAAAAGAAAGTTCATTTTTTAAAGTTTTTCTTAATTGTTATTTGAGTTAACTCTTGTCTTTTTTGTCTGGAATCCTTTTTTTACATATTTATGGGAAAGAAAGATTTTAACTATAGCTTATTAACAAAAAATTCCTTTCATTCTCTGTATAATTGAATGAGAAAAAAATAGAAAGTTATGTGTTGTTTCTCACCTATAAGTGACATTATGCACATCCAATTGTAGATTGTGTAAAGGTAAAAATCAAAATAACTACATTTTGCCATAATTGTTGTCAATTTTATATTTTAATACACAAAAATAATGAATAACTCACATAAATGTATCTCAAGGAAATTTCTATAAATAGTCTTCGTAATATACATGTATATCATTAATGTCTTTCTATATTTATAAAGTTTTGTTTATATTTTCTTAACATTTGCCATTATCATTTATTGGTCATCAACCATTACGCTAGTCATTCTATTGAAATATATAGCCAATGCAGCTCAACTTGACTGCAAGAAAATTGAGCATAATGTCACAAGTATCATCACAAGTATTGTTGTATAGTTGCTCAAAACTTTTGGTTTAGTTTTGTATTAGTTTTACTAAGTATTTTCATAATTAGAAGAAAATGAAGATATATAGCATTAGACAGTGTATCTGAAGACATAATCAAATAGTGTTCATAATTAGTAAATATTTTCATGGTAAATTTTATTCATGAAATTTTCTGAAATGCTTAACTTTCAATGTTTTTAGTGTAAATGAATTATAAAAAGGGACAAAGTATTTACTATAATCTCTACAATTTGACAAACATGTAATCTGTTTTTCAGCCGTAAACTTCATCTGTGATAACCCTGATATAAAAGCTATATCTTTTGTGGGATCTGACCAAGCTGTAAGTTACTTTGAGCATACTGAGCATTCCTTTTACAATGATTGAATATTATATATTAATTTAATTCGGGGAATATATCATTTCTGACAGTTATACACTACGTATTTATACACTACATATTGTTGAGTTCCGAAAAAAAAGTATGTAGAATCTACTTGACTTAAATGATTGGAAATTCATATTATATAATGGCATATCAGTAAAACTGTATTTATAATCTGACAAATGACTTCAAGGTTAAATAAATTAACCAAGCAGTTAGTATTTAGAGATTAATACTTGTTTGATGCTCGCCAGTATGGACGGAAAATGTGAATAATGGCCTGAGGGGTTTGAGGGCCATTATCGCATAATGGCAAGCTTGGTTTTTGCCCTTCCTAAGAAACGGACAGTTGTCAATGTAAACAAATATCTGTCATTCAGTTTAACCCTCTGATAAACTTAGAAAACATGATAACACAAAATAAATATGAGAAGATGCTGTTACAGTTGTAAAGGAAGGATACAAAGAAACCACACGTCAACACCGGATAAATGTGAACAAAATTTTAATAAAGATCTATCGGTTTTGAAACTATTTGGTTCTTCATCAGGATGTTGTTTATAGCGATAAATTCTCTTTACATTTCTTTGTGAGAATAACATTTAGTGCCAGTATTTATGGACTTGTGTACTTTCAAGAAAGGTTCTGATGTCAAGTCACAAATCTAGCTCTAAATGTCCCCGATCTTTTTCTACCTTCAAGCTGAAATCATTTTCGAAATTTCTGAGGATCATGTTTTGTCTTGGGTAGAGTTAATGAAATTTTTGTTGAGTTTATAAATCTTTAATGTTAAGCTTTGTTGAATGTGACTTATGTCATCTCAAGTGCAAGTGACTAGGACAGTTCACTCAACGACTGCAGCCATCTTGAAAGTCACTGAGAGTTGATTACGTCATTCTGTATGTGCGCTCATTCACTCATCCATTATGGAAAAATAATGCTGAGTAGCAAGGCGGCCAAAATTGCATAATGACCTAAATCTTGCCATAATGGCTTTGAAATTCTCTAGATTTTAATACTATATATAGTAACATAGGTATTCATTACAAAGAAAACATCAAATAGGTATTCATTACAAAGAAAACATCACTGCAAATGTTGTTTCCTTGGGCAAGAAACTTTACACTCATTGCTCAGAACTGGCTGATTCAAGAGTGTGTCTATAAGCTTATAATATAGTTTCCTACATTTTTAAATGGAAATGATTTTTTTATAAACTTAATCAAAATGTTACAGTAGACTTATTCTAGTAAAATATTTTCATTACAGGGAAAGTACATTTATGAAAGAGGATCAAAGAATGGAAAGAGAGTGCAATCAAATATGGTAAAAGTGATTTATTTTATAAAAAAAAATAGAGGCTTGAAATTCTTACTATGATGATATCTTACATAAATCTTTGTTTCACATATACCAGTTTCCATAGCAACACAGTTAAAAATGCTGGTACTGTTTTACTTTTACCTAACCACTATTGATTCAAATTCTTTGATGTGTCATGTAAGCTATCCAGTTAACAAGTAGAACTTTGAAAGTTATTCAATTTTCTTATTTGAGGGATTGTGGCTATATCACTAACAGTGTTAATTTTGACAAAAGACCTTTCAAAAAGACCCATCAAGGATAATCTTGTCAGAAAAAAAATCATTGACATGGGATCATGATATGATTCATAATGGTTTTATTAGCTCACCTGAGCATATGCTCAGGGTGAGCTATTAGGATCACTCTTCGTCCGTCGTCCGTCGTACGTCGTCCGTTGTCCGTTCACACTTTTCAAACGACATCTCCTCTGAAACCATAAGGCAGATCATAATGAAACTTCACAGGGATGTTCCTTGTGTGAAGCCTTAACAAAGTTGTTCAAAGAATTCCATTCCATGCAGAACTCTGGTTGCCATGGCAACCAAAAGAAAAAACTTTAAACATCTTCTTCTAGAAAACCCAAAGAGCTAGAGCTTAGATATTTGGTATGAAACATCTTCTAGTGAGTGTCTACCAAGATTGTTCAAATAAAAGCCCTGGGGTCAAAATTGGCCCCGCCCCAGGGGGTCATTGATTTTCCCTATATGCATATAGTAAAAACTTAAAAAAATCTTCTTTTAAAGAACCCAAAGAGCTAGACCTAAGATATTAAGCATGAAACATCTTCTAATGAGTGTCTACCAAGATTGTTCAAATAAAAGCCCTGGGGTCAAAATTGGCCCCGCCCCAGGGGGTCATTGATTTTCCTTATATGCATATAGTAAAAACTTAAAAAAATCTTCTTCTAAAAAACCCAAAGAGCTAGAGCTTAGATATTTGGCATTAAACATGTTCTAATGGATGTCTACCAAGTTTGTTCAAATAAAAGCCCTGGGGTCAAAATTGGCCCCGCCCAGGGGGTCATTGATTTTCCCTACATGCATATAGTAAAAACTTAAAAAAATCTTCTTTTAAAGAACCAAAAGAGCTAGACCTAAGATATTAAGCATGAAACATCTTCTAATAAGTGTCTACCAAGATTGTTCAAATAAAAGCCCTGGGGTCAAAATTGGCCCCGCCCCAGGGGGTCATTGATTTTCCCTATATGCATATAGTAAAAACTTAAAAAAATCTTCTTTTAAAGAACCCAAAGAGCTAGACCTAAGATATTAAGCATGAAACATCTTCTAATAAGTGTCTACCAAGATTGTTCAAATAAAAGCCCTGGGGTCAAAATTGGCCCCGCCCCAGGGGGTCATTGATTTTCCTTATATGCATATAGTAAAAACTTAAAAAAATCTTCTTCTAAAAAACCCAAAGAGCTAGAGCTTAGATATTTGGTGTAAAACATGTTCTAATGGATGTCTGCCAAGTTTGTGCAAATAAAAGCCCTGGGGTCAAAATTGGCCCAGCCCCAGGGGGTCCATGATTTTCCCTATATGCATATACAGTGTAACTTCCGAAAACCGAACACCCATAGGACTTGTAAAAAAGTTCGGATTTCAGAGGTTTCCGGAACTCAGAGGTTTATGATAATGTGGACAAGACTAAGCCACTTAATATCACTAAATGTCAAGGTTGATATGGCCATTACTGTAATAACAGTTTTTTTATCAAGATAAAGATGTGAATGAAAAGAATACATTTTTATCGTATCTGCAAAATTAATGCTTTTGGATTTCTGATGTAGAAATGTTAATTGCATACACTTACATATCGTCCGATGCTAGTTAATTAATTATTACATAAAATGCAATAAAATCCCTAAAGACGTTTGATGCATACATTGTCCAATTAATTGACATTTAATCCGCTAATAAACACTTAAAATTATCTGACCGCCGTAAATTACTTTGATTAATCACATCACTTCAAACATACCATTTCACAGTTTGTGATTTTAACGCGTGTCAAATTACACGATCACCGTTAATTAGTAAACAATCGATAGGGAGATTAAATCTTCCTGCAGGGTAAACATTCTCGATTTACAATGTATTTCACACCTTTGGATATTTCCGGTTTTTGGAGGTAAAATTGCATTGATTTGACTCTAATTTTACGAAAATATCGTCCGGAATTCAGAATTTAGAAGTTCCGGAATTCAGAAGTATTATATTAAAAGAAAATAGAAGGGAAAAAATCGGGACCGAAAAAATTGTTCGGTTTTTAGAAGTTTCCGGATTTCAGAAGTTCCGGAATTCGGAAGTTACACTGTAGTAAAAACTTAAAAAAATCTTCTCTTAAAGAACCCAAAGAGCTAGAGCTAAGATATTTAGCATGAAACATCTTCTTATGAGTGTCTACCAAGTTTGTTCAAATAAAAGCCCTGGGGTCAAAATTGGCCCCGCCCCAGGGGGTCATTGATTTTCCCTATATGCATATAGTAAAAACTTTAAAAAAATTCTTTTAAAGAACCCAAAGAGCTAGAGCTAAGATATTTAGCATGAAACATGTTCTAATGGGTGTCTACCAAATTTGTTCAAATAAAAGCCCAGGGGTCAAAATTGGCCCTGTCCCAGGGGTCATTGATTTTCCCTATATACATAGAGTAAAAAGTTAAAAATCTTCTATTAAAGAACCAAAAGAGCTAGAGCTAAGATATTTAGCATGTTCTAATGGATGTTTACCAAGTTTGTTCAAATAAAAGCCCTTGGGTCAAAATTGGCCCTGCCAGGGAGAGGGGGGTGGGGGGCAAAAGTCATTGTTATTCATTATTTGTGTATAGTAAAAACTTAACATCATGAAATATCTTCTAATGGGTGTCTTCCAAGTTTGTTCAAATAAAAGCCCTTTGGTTTAAACTGGCCCGGCCCTTGGGGCCTATGTTCAGGTGAGCGACCCCAGGGCCATCATGGCCCTCTTGTTTATATTTCAGACTGCATATAGAAAAAGGACTTGTATTTATTTGCATGTTCTTTAATAAATATGATCATAAAGAAAAGTTTATTTATTGCTAAAATATTAATTGATGTGAATTACTTTACAGGGTGCTAAGAATCATGGTGTGATAATGCCAGATGCCAATAAAGAGAATACACTTAATCAGGTAGGAATGTGATATGATTCTGATATACACTGATGAACTTTAACCTTTTACCTGCTGAGTTTTTGTAATGAATTTGTCCTGGTTTTAATTTGGTACAATACATTTTCAAAATAAAAATACAAAAAAATAAGCATAGGGGCATCAGTGGCTGAGTGGTTATGGTCGTTGACTTCAAACAACTTGCCCCTCACCATTATGGTTTTGAATTCCAACAGGGACTTTGGAATCTTTCATGTGAGGAAGCTTTCCAGCTAGCTTACAGAACGTTTGTGGTTCTATTTGTGTGCCCGTTTATGCAAAGTTTTAATTGATGTTGCTGTTGATGCCTGAAATAATTCATGGGTGTCTTTAATCTTCCTTTACCATTAAAACCTAAAAGTTACCATACAAACTTTGTACTATTTGTTTGACATACAACTAGACAAAAAAATGAGCCGCGTCACGACAAAACCAACATAGTGGGTTTGCGACCAGCATAGATCCAGACCAGCCTGCCAGGATTGCGCATCCGCGCAGTCTGATAGGATCCATGCTGTTCGCTTTCCAACCCTATTACAAGTGGAGAAACTGATAGCGAACAGCATGGATCCTGATCAGACTGCGTGGATGCGCAGGCTGGTCTGGATCCATGCTGGTCGCAAATCCACTATGTTGGTTTTGTCGTGACACGACTCAAATGAAGTCCGAGCTAGCTCATTAGAATTTTCAGAAAATTAGCTATGAACCTGTGTACATACTCTTCTGGCTTAAAATAAATTATAGTTTTAATAAAGCTAAAATAAATTGCTTGGTATATATAAGCCATGCCCACCTTGATGAAGTTTAAATATATAACTTCACTTTTGTTATATTGTAGTTGGTAGGTGCAGCATTTGGGGCAGCTGGACAGAGATGTATGGCGCTGTCGACAGCAGTGTTTGTTGGCGAGGCGAAGGAATGGATTCCCGAACTTGTCGAAAGATCCAGGAAGCTGAAGGTCAATGCAGGTATGATTTATTTTGGAAATATCGTCTTCATAAAGAATTAAGCCACCTTTTACCAAATTCTTTTTTATAGGAGAAAAATAGGGTATGTTATTTAGTGTGTATTATAGATTTGCTCTAGTATAACTTGTGTATAATTGTGGACATTACTTTTATTGACTGATCAATCAATCCAAATTTATTTTTGAGAAGCCATTAATTGTAATATAATATTATAGGTGTAAATCAAAATGGGCTGTCTCTAACGGGTAGAAAATTTGTATCTGATAGAATTGATAACAAAGCATTTAAATGAAATGAAATTATTTGTAAATTTATAATTAACCTATGATGATATTACAGGTCATGAGCCTGATGCAGATTTAGGTCCCCTGATTTCACCCGAGGCCAAGAAGCGTGTTTGTGACCTCATACAGTCGGGTGTAGACCAGGGTGCGCAGTTACTTCTCGACGGCAGAAATGTCAAAGTGCCTGGATACGAAAATGGAAACTTTGTCGGTCCAACCATCTTACATAAAGTTGATGTAAGTTGTAATGATGATAAATTTTCTAATGTTGAATACATACATGTATATATTACTCCATCCTAACATATATTTATATAATGGACTTTCCCAGTTTGAAATTTGAAGCGCCCATTGTTATTTTAAGGGTTCCAATATCAGTTGTAAGCAGCTGGTCAGGAAAGAAAAAACTTTAAATATCTTCTTTTCAAAAACCCAAAGAGCTAGAGCTCAGATATTTGGCATGAAACATCTTCTAGTGAGTGTCTACCAAGTTTGTTCAAATAAAAGCCCTGGGGTCAAAATTGGCCCCGCCTCAGGGGGTCATTGATTTTCCCTATATGCATATAGTAAAACCTTAAAAAATCTTCTTTTAAAAAACCCAAAGAGCTAGAGCTAAGATATTTAGCATGAAACATCTTCTAATGAGTGTCTACCAAGTTTGTTCAAATAAAAGCCCTGGGGTCAAAATTGGCCCCGCCCCGGGGGTCATTGATTTTCCTTATATGTGTATAGCAAAAACTTAAAAATGTTCTTTGAAAAAATCCAAATAGCTAGAGTTTAGATATTAAGCATGAAACATCTTCTGGTAAGTGTCTACAAAGTTTGTTCAAATAAAAGCCCTGGGGTCAAAACTGGCCCCGCCCCAGGGGTGTCATTGTTTTTAACTAAATGTGTATAGTAAAAACTTAAAAAATCTTCTTTTAAAGAACCCAATGAGCTAGAGCTTAGATGTTTAGCATGAAACATCTTTTAATGGGTGTCTACCAAGTTTGTTCAAATAAAAGCCCTTGGGTAAAAATTGGCCCTGTCGGGGGGGGGGGGAAAGGGGGGGGGGGCAGAGGTCATTGTTTTTCATTATATGTGTGTAGTAAAAACTTAACATCATGAAACATCTTCTAATGGGTGTCTTCCAAGTTTGTTCAAATAAAAGCCCTGGGGTTTAAACTGGCCCCGCTCCAGGGGCCTTTATACAGGTGAGCGACCTCAGGGCCATCATGGCCCTCTTGTTATTTTATCTTAATAACTCTCATTTTCCTTTCAGCCGACCATGAAATGTTATGAGGAGGAGATATTTGGTCCAGTACTGGTAAGTATGGAGGTAGAAACAATGGACGAAGCCATTGATATTATCAACAAAAATAGATATGGAAATGGAACGGCCATTTTCACAACCAATGGTGCAACAGCAAGAAAATACACAATGGACATTGATGTCGGACAGGTAAGTATCATTCTATCTTCACTTATAAATAATTTTGTAAAAACTGCCCTCTAAAACCAAAATACAATGTTATTTTATGTTTATCAGGATGGTAATCTGCATGGTCCAAGGATGAGTTAACTCATAAGGGGAGAGATGGCTGAGTGGTTTGAGCCCTTATAAGGACTCTACCATGTGTTTCTTGGTGGTTTGAGCCCTTACCAGGTCTCTACCGTGTTTTTTTTTATTTTACACTAGAACTGATTAGTTTCAGGAAAGGCGTGTCTGTGGCCACTGAAGGCCACTGACTTCAAATCACTAACTCCTCACTGCTTTGAGTTTGAATTCTGCCAGAGACTTCAGATTCTATTCATGGAAAAAAGCTAACCTCTAGCTTACGGAAGGATTCTACTAAGGTGCCTGCTTATGCATGAAAAAATGCACAAAGGGGCACCTGAGGTCTTCCTGCACCAGTAAAACTGGAAAATCACCATCAGACCTTTACAATGTTGTGTGACTTAAAATTAAAATAAAATATTGCTTAGCCATTTTTTAAATTTTTTTCAAGATTCACCACAGGTGAAGATGTTTTAACTAAACAATCTTGATATGATATGGGGGCATCCATGAACGATTGTTTAAGGTCTTTGACCGACAGGATTCTTTCTATAGAGCTAGCTTATGGAACCTCGGGTGATTCTATTGAGGTACCTGTATGTGCCTGAAATAATGCACTGAAGGGCACCTGAGATCTTCCTCCACCACTAAAGCTGGAGCGTTACCATATGACTTACACTCTGTTGGTGTGATGTAAAACCCAATCAAACAAAATAATATTTTTAATACAATATTTAGGATTGTAATATATTGTAGGTTGGTGTTAACGTGCCTATCCCAGTACCTTTACCTATGTTCTCATTCACGGGTTCTCGAGGCTCTTTCATGGGAGATACCAACTTTTACGGTAAACAGGTAAGTTGCCCTGGAATATACATCATACTTGATAACCTGATCAGCTTATACTTGTTTGGAAATGAGGTAATGAAAAGCAGAAGTTAAACCTTTTGATCATCAAAAGACTTGTTGCTACCACTGTAATGTTGAAAATCATCCATTATTTTGCTTTAACCTTGGTCATTGAGTGTTGAAAAATATTATCTTAAAGCAGTTTGCTTGCAATTATTTATGAATACCTAACTAATAAAATGTATTCTGGGTTCAACATTTGAACTTGCTCTCAACATTTGAACTTGCTCAGTGCTCTGTACTGTTTGGTTCTAGGAAGGGATTAAAGAGTGTGTCGATAAGCTTATATGTATGAGTCTAAACAATTTTCATAAAATATTAAAGATATGATAAATATGATATGTTGTTACTAAAATGCAGCTTTTTGTAATGTTTAAAACCAGAAATTTTGAAAAATGTTCACGAGTATTTAAATTTTTTGGTGTAATTTTTGGAACTTGTAAAATATGCCAACATATTTTTTTCGTAAAATGTGCCAACGTATTTCATTTGTCACTTTTCTAGGGAATTAACTTCTACACTCAACTGAAGACAGTCACTCAGATGTGGAGAGATGAAGATGCCACTGTTACCAAGCCTGCAGTTTCTATGCCAGTTATGAAATAATCTGAACAAAATGTGAAAACAAATGTGAAAATATTACAAAAATGTGAAAACATAACGAAAATGTGAAAATATTACAAAATGTGAAAATGTATCAAACTAGGAAAATACAAGAAAATATGTAAAAAAGTACAACATTTCAAAATGGGAAAACTTTAAAAATGTAAAAACGATACCATTTCGTTATGTGAAATGGTAAAAAAAAATGGGAATAGGAACAAAAAGTGTACATTTATCCAGAATCTGTGATAAACTTTACTCTATCACAATCGCGTGTTTGATTTCATCATATACTTAATCATTTTTTACTTCTTCACTAGAATGCTTAACTGTTTGGTTTTTTTTTATCAAAGGTCTGTACATTTGATTCCAGTAAAGATTGGGCTTACCAGGCAAACCCATATTTAGCACACAAACTTGAAAAATAAATGTTTATGTCTTGTAGACATGGCTTACAGACTTGCTTGTGTGCTCACCTTGTAAATTAAAATTGTTATCAGATTTTTTTTATACATGTACATGAAAATGCTACAGAATCGAAGTGCCTGTTTATCCACTTCTTATACAAAATAATGTGCTCTCTTTCTGTTTTTGATTTTGTTTTCATTACTCAGCGCATTTCTATGCACCAAAAAGTACACCATGTTTTATTTTCTTTTTCTGTTTTTCAAATATTTAACTGAAGAATAAGTTTTGTATTGAAAACAGATACATATGTGTGTCTTTATGTTATTTAGTGGTTTGTGTTGACTTTAAAATAGGTACTCTTTAGATGACATTCTTATTTTTACTTAAATGTTGAAATAAGGAAGGTGGTAAATGGGTAGCATTTACGTGGCGTTTTTATGTGCCACTTATAAGTTAATGCGTGTCCAGTGTGTTACATTATTAATATGTACATGTTATGAATGTCATGAATGAAATAATTATTATATATATATATATCACTGATCATGAATTAAATTTGACAAAAAATAATTTGCTTCTGTTTTTTCTTCCATTAGAATTGTTGTGATGGTAATTGTTTCAGTTTGAGAAAGGTGAAGGAACTCCAATGAGGTCAAAAGATTTAAAAACAAACTTTGAAATTCCTACTTACATCAATTTGGACACATAAAACTGAAGTATGCAAAAATGACAATAAAAACACTGGGAATGAAATCTTTTTAAATTAAATTTTAAAAAAAATGGATTTTCAGTCTTTTTGAATGAAAAGTGTTCAAACGCTTTTCATTTTTTTAAATCATTTTGCACAATAAAATTGATTATTTTGGAAAAAAATATTCTACATTGTGTACATCTGAAGTTTTGCACACTAGTTATAGGCACAGTTATATTTTGCCAAAGGTCTGAAGAAGACTAATGTCTAAAACAATTATTTAGTTAAGATATATTTTGATTAAAGCTTAAAGTTTATATGAGCTACCCACTTCCTGACCCGACTGGTCAATGGAATTATGCGTGACCTCCATTGGACTGAAATATCTTAAAAATGCTTTGTCCGAATTTTTTGTATATTGACGTTGTTCAAAACGTCAAATGCTGTCCACAAATGATGTCGCAACTTGGATACAAACTATCGTTCACAGATGAACGATTACAGTCATAGATATTAAAGATTTAGAATCTAGCCTCTTTAAGTGGACAAATAAGGAAATATTTTAGTCAGTAAGGTATGTCTTTTCTTTTAGACATTCTGAATCGGCAAATTTAGGTAACTTGATTTACGTTCTTAAATATATATACAAGATAAATAATTTAAATTTAGATCTACTTGTTATCTTATTCACATACATCATGTTATTCCGTGCCTGTTGTAGTTGATTGAAGGTGACATCCCCATCCATGAGTATATAAAGAATGAACAAACGAAAGTCAAAATAAGTTTTCATTTTGCTACAATTCCTTTAATAATTTACTTCTCATAAACGATACATAACTCACGTTACCCAAGAGAATTTTTGTAAATATCAATCGGAATTTACCTTTAAAAGGAGTGGGATAGTCTTACATTTTAGGCAGATATATCTTTTATCCTTAATATTTTCCAATATCAACTGTTGGTCAATCATCATTTTAACTGAAACTTTTGAAGTATATAATTGATTCAGCTCAACGTGACAATGAAAAAAAATAAGCATAATACATGTTCTTAGAATACAAGTAAAATAATGTAGTTCGACTATTCTTTCCTTTTTTGCTTATTTACAGCGGAAGTTTCCTTTTTTGTTCAGTATATAGTCTTTTTAATCAGTTTTTTTTTTTTTGCAAAAAAGTACACTTAGTGAATTAGTATTTGCATGGATGTCAATATACTATTTGGTTTACATTTTGTTACTTTTATGACAAAATATTTCACATTTATCGCTACTTTGTTAAGGTAACAAGCATCAAACATCTAGTATTTTTTCATTATTGATGCATGTTTTTTTTTTTTTTTACATTTGATCGCTAAATACATGTAATTTGAATTGATAGATATTGAAATGTGAAATTGTGCAAGGTAAGTTTTCTTGTAATCAATGGTGCGTGTGTCTTGATAAAGGACATATGAATTTGTTCTGCAAAGTCGGGGATAAATCTTGGCATAGAAATGATTACAGATACTGTGAATTACTAGATAATTTAGCATACAAAAAAAATTAAGAATGTATGTGATGAAATCTAAAAAGAAAGGAACGTGTGTTATTAAAGAAAGAAATAAGAAAGAAAGAAAGAAATAAAGAAAGATAGAAAGGAAGAGAAAGAAAGAAAGAAACTAATAATTACAAAAAGAGAGTGGATTTTTAGACAGTTCGTTAAGCGTTCACTTAAATAAATAGCATGTCCATTTGAACTCGTCCTGGCGTCTGTTTGCTAAAACCGACAAGAACGACAACTGTGTTTACAAAAGCAGATGAGACGTAAGGCGTTACGTCACAAACGTCACATCCGCCTGAAACAGAACGTCGTAACTTAGCAGTTGTGTTTGTTGTTGAGACAGGGATTTAAAGGCCCGGAATATTTTATATTTTACATAATTTAGAATAAGAAAAGTGTAAATTAAGTGTAAGTATTTTGCTCTTTACAGTTTGTGTAATTTATGTCTCTTGCCATTTTTACTTAGTAGTTCATTTTTTAATATTCAGCAATTTGAAATTCTAATAAATAAAATATTCTTGATAAACTTTACCTTGAAAAATAATTCTTATATGTTAATTGTAAATTTTGTCGTTATCTGAATTCAAGTTGCAAATATTTGTTTGTTTGTAGTTATACACATTTTTTTTTAAATAACAATATGATCGAATGAAATTTGTTTAAATTCATGAATGAAATTAGATTTAAAAAGTATTAATGTTTGATAAATTCACAGTAAATTTAACATTCTTAGATTTTACAAACTTTGGTATTACAGACATGGGCATCCGCCAGTATGTGTATGCCGCAACTTTTTAATCATATTTTCAGCCGCGTCACGACAAAACCAACATAATGGGTTTGCGACCAGCATGGATCCAGACCAGCCTGCGCATCCGCGCAGTCTGATCAGGATCCATGCTGTTCGCTATCAGTTTCTCTACTTGTAATAGAGTTGGTAAGCGAACAGCATGGATCCAGATCAGACTGCGCGGATGCGCAGGCTGGTCTGGATCCATGCTGGTCGCAAACCTATTATGTTGGTTTTGTCGTGACACGGCTCAAATCACGTAGTATATATGTTACATTCCATGGTTTATTTTTATTTCTACCACAATATAAAACAAATAAAGAGATTATATTGATTGAAATCATAAATTGTACAAAGTATAAAAAGTAAAAATGATAAATTTATTTGATATTATTTTAAACATTCCTTTAAAAAAGCCAACACAATAATATTCAAAACATATCAATAAAAATTATGTGAAAGTAACAAAAACTAGGGAAAATACTTCTTTTTCTTAATGTTTCTATTTTTCAAAAGTCAAAAACAAATAATATTTGTTGAAATTAATGGTAACAACTATACAAACTGAAACACTGTCCAGTGCATAAATGGTCTAGAAATGAACTTTGAAGTTCACTTGAGGTGCACATTGAGGTCCACATTGAAGTGCACTAGAAGTGCATATGTAGTGCGTACCAAGTGCACTTTGTGAAACCAAAGTGAGCTCAAGTGTATGCTATTGATAAAGAAAAAGTTCCATAACGTGTTTGAAATGTATAATACCTCCTTTTTTCAAATAGATTTACATACAAGATGCAGGCTGGGAATGCTTCAAGCCTGGAAAGGCGTTACAAAAAAGCCAGGGATAAAGTCTGCGCGCAGGCTAAGAAGTTTGAAAAGTGTAAAAAGGTAACCACTAAGACAAAGAAATTCCCTCGTTTAAGATCAAACCATGAACTTTAAGCCTGGTTCTGTCGAGCCTAGCCCTACCTATAGTTGACCCTTGACTGCATGTCATTCGACTTTAATTAAATGTTACTATTCTTAGACTAAAGTCACCGTAAACAAAGCAAACGAAGTATGCAATCTTTAAATAATGAGTTTTAATGAAATATTATATTTAAACCTAAATGTATTTTCTGGTGTGGTATGGTTTACAAAATTGAAATTTATAGAGCTATAACTAACTAAACTTAGATGATTGGATGAACTTTCATCAACAAAAGTTTGGAGAACTTCAATGCGTGTATAGACATCGCAACATCTTTGGCATTGTTCTATATAAAATAACAAAATATAGAAATGCAATTTATCATTGGTATCGATATCTTTGCTGGATTTTCAGTCTCAACTTTTCGGCCCTTTCCGCCAGTCTTCGGATTATGAATAATAGCCGAAGACGTTCCGATTGCTGGATTTTAAGTCAAACCGAATCAACGTGCCGTTAAATCCAAACAAACAAACTGAGTCAAACCGACGCTGTACATGTACATGATGCATGGCGGCGGGTTGCCAGCTTTACTGCAAACTCCGACGCAGTTGTCTCCCTTCGCTTCGCTACACAGACTATTCTGCCAAGGGAGGTAATCACTGTGAGGAGTTTGGCTTTACTGTTGGAGGAGATGCTGATGTACCCCTCCTTGCATATTTCCGACACCAAGGTAGAACTACCGGTCTTCAAGAAAGTTTACTGGCCACAAGGTTATAAACATTTTAGTAACAAGTATAATTAGCCAATGAAAAGCTCTCTGTGGGGTTCAAACCCACAATGGTTAGAAGAAAGCTCTATATATGCTGTTTGATTCAAACATTCAAAGAAAAAAGATTACACAGTAAAGTTTGTATCAAGAAACGATAACATTTAGTTAAAGCAAGCAGAACGCCCCCCTAAACTCATGCTTATTTTCATGAACATTTTGAAAATGTTTTTTTAAAGTAAAATATTGTGAAGTTACCAAAAAAGAAAGCAATTGATTCATTACAAACAGCTAATTTACCAAAATGAGGTCATAATTTAAAAAAAAATAACCTTTACTACTTTAGTACACAGAAATATGGTTATAAATTATGAAAAATCAGCCATTAATCACACTTATTATGTAAATTATTACTTAAATCTTGAATCTTTTTACTTTTCCTAAAATCTTAGTACATTTTTCTTAAGGTTGATTTCATTAAAATAACTCATCCTGAGGCATACAGCTAATATAATAACTTCATTTCCATTTTCTGTGACACATCCCGCCAATAGTTAGAACATCCTTTAGCATTTCACTTGGACATTATAGATACAAATGAGATACATATATTTGTGTGAATGAAAAAAGTAGCGATGCTATGTGTTTACTTATTTTAGGCCTACCTAACTGTCATGTTTGAAATAGAAAGGAAGGCGATTAAAGTGAAGCTGGCGCTAAATACAGATATTGCTTCAAAATCCATACATGATATACAACAACTTACGCCAAAAGCAGCGAAATTGAAAGAAAACTGTTTTACCCAAATAGAGAAATGGCGAGCTAAACTGAAGTTGTTTCTTGTGGTAAGATTTATTCCTCGTACATTTACTTAAAATATGACCTTTTCGTGTTTTAAAGTGTCCTTTGGCGTCTTAATATATGTTGCCATTGATGGACAGTATCGTCTGCAATCTCCCTGTTCTATGCATCCAAGTATATGTAAGTATGGTGGCTGATTTGTGCCACCGCGATCCCGCCAAAATTAACAAGTTAAAATGGCAGGGCGCGGAGAGAAAATACACAAATAAGCGTGTAAGGAAAGATGGTATCTATAATTTTACATAGCTAAGAAGGAAACATTATAACTAGCAAAGAGAATTTCCCCAAACTTTGTTGGAATTCTGACTGAAGCAAATTGAAGAATAAAAGAAACAAAATTAGGGTCATCATACTATTTATGGGTTATCTGCCCATTAAAGTGAGTGTTTTTACTCTTTTATGCCACTTTCATGAGCATATAACACAAAATCAAGCAGCCGTTACTTGATTTTGTTTTAAATTATGATGCGCAGTTTTATATTAAATCATTAATAAAAGTTTGAAATATATTCAAAAGACATTTTGCTATACTGAACAACGAGTAAGTATATTCGACTTTTCTTTAAAAAGTGCTATAAATTACAGTATTGAGAGGAAAATTCTAATTTTTCATTACAAAGCTTGAAATATAGTCTGTTAATAAAAACATATATAGTCTGTTTTTAAAAATGAATATGAGCAAACTCTTTATAAAGCTTGAAATCAAATGAGGTGTTGCTTTCCACAGTTGAGTTATTTGCCCTTGAAAATGACATAAAAGTGCAATAAAGTACTTTTATAGGGGCGGATCCCAATTTTTTGTTTGTTTCTTGTTTTTTTACTGTTTCAATTTGTTCTTATATTGATTTTCTTTAATTATGTAATGTTTAAGAAAATTCTTTACGAGATTTAAACTCGTAAGCTTGTTTAATTTTTTTGTCTTTGCGTTTGTAAAAAATATGTATCTCTCCAAGAAAGGTATTTTATGTACATGCATTAGTTAAAAATAATGGCGAACATGTATCTTGAGATCATGTTTGTCAGATATCTAGCTCATTTTTTAAGTTATTTATTTATCTATTTGTATGATAATCATAAAACTATATTTGTTTGTCCGTATTTATAATAAAAAGCAAAAGATTCGGGAAAAGACGTCTTTGAATAGATTTTTGAGTAATTTCATCATTTAAGATAAAATATTATGAGAACAAATCGCCACTTCTTACATGTGTTTTATTTCATTACATGAACTGGGACAGCTCTATAGCTACTTCTGTGGCGGGCAGTGACGTGGCGTTCTACATAAGAGTTATAGTGGAATGAGAATACGTCTTGCACTCATGCCATATCAAAACATATCAACCCAGTGTTTTAATATTGGACTTGTTCTTTTTGCATGATTAAGTGAAACATAATTTGATTTCAGGTTGCCAAGGAAAAAGCTGAAGCAGACAATGAAAACGTTATTGAACAAATCAGAAGAGCCGTTGTCGATAAAAACAGGTACGTCTTTATCAGATTATTATAAGCCTGAAATTGGGAATCAGTCACAAACTCTATCATCTGATTGATTGAATAAAGTTCCAACACAATTTGAATTAGCCCAATGAAATTGCTCGGTTGTTGAACATTTATTTTAGAATCTTGGACCTGTGGTTACAAATTAAGAATGATCAGTCGTTCACGTTGAAAATACACATTATTATAAAGACATTATAAGCACTCATATTTGTTACTTTACTAGCGTAATTCGACAAATTCCTCGATGTAGGTATTCTAAAGTTGATATCTACATAGAACAGCACGAAAATACTCTACTTGGTTTGCATTTGTTGTATCTATTGCATCTGTGACTATTTTGTGCACTCATTTTAAGTTCTTATAATTATTCAGTTTAAAGTTTGACTATATTGTTTGCTAAATCCGTAACCAAGGTTTATGTAAATTTTGAACGGAACATATTGAAATATTAATGAGCCGCGTCACGACAAAACCAACATAATGGGTTTGCGACCAGCATGGATCCAGACCAGCCTGTGCAGTCTGATCAGGATCCATGCTGTTCGCTATAAGTTTCTGTACTTGTTATAGAGTTGTAAGCGAACAGCATGGATCCTGATCAGACTGCGCAGGCTGGTCTGGATCCATGCTGATCGAACCCATTATGTTTGTTTTGTCGTGACGCTGCTCAAATGTTATTTGAATTTTGATGACGACATTTTGTGCTTTGTTGTAGTGATGAGGTCATGAACATCGATAAACTCTTAGAAAAAGAAAACATTCATGAACCAGTATTTGAGGTTAGTTATTTAAAGATATCACGGAATAATTTGTGAGGGTTTCCTGTCTTTATTGTGTTGAAAATGGTGTCATGATTTGAGACGCAACATGACGTAAAAAAGCCATAAAGGGTGTAGACTAAATAATTCTGTCTTTAATAAATGTTTATATGTGCTAGTTAACAAGGAGGTACCTACAATGAAACGACTATATCAATAATTAGAACAATTAAACAACTATATTAAATTAATATAAGTGGAATCTTCAAAACACATTATTATTACAAAAAAAAAGAAGAAAAGAAACAACAACCTCAGAACATAAACTCTAAGCAGCACGGTGTTGGAACGAGGACTTTGATGACAGGAACCCGTTCTGTAGCAGGTCTGGTTGAGAACGGTTCTACTTTAGAAGTATGCAAATATCAGTACGTGAGAATGTCAGGAAATTTTTATAAACAGATAAAACAAATTTGATGCCAATTTTAAAAAATTACAATTACATTGATAAATAAATTTTACAATTGCATTTTAATTTAGAATATATATTTTTTCTTTTTTTTTTTAATTTTATAGGAATATGTGCCATCTGGTAACAAAAATGAAATGTATGACCCTGCTTGTGCTGAAAATGTTCCCGTCTCAGAAGACTGGGGATACGACTCCGATAGCTCGGTTACATGTAAGTTGTTACATTTGATTTTATAAACAGTTTAAATCATAATTACTCGTAGATATTTGACAATTAGGTTTGGGGTAGAGGTTCGGCATTAAATTAATATAATTATATATTTGAGCTGCGTCATGACAAAACCAACATAATGGGTTTGCGACCAGCATGGATCCAGACCAGCTTGCGCATCCGCGCAGTCTGATCAGGATCCATGCTGTTCGCTATCAGTTTCTCTACTTGCTATAGTGTTTGTAAGCGAACAACATGAATCCTGATCAGACTGCGCGGATGCGCAGGCTGGTCTGGATCCATGCTGGTCGCAAACCCATTATGTTGGTTTTGTCATGACACGGCTCATTTGTAGTTTTAAGCAAAGAAATGGCTATGTGTTTTTGGCAAAGGACTTTTTTGAACGTTCTGAAAAAAAGAATAGGTAGACTTCTTTTAAATCAGTGTCTACAAGAAATATTTTTAAAAATACAACACTATACTTCGTTGACATTCGGTCCATCAAACTTGAATCAAACGAATATAAAAATATTCGCAAGATACTCATCAATATGTTTACCAGCAGCTGTAATAGATATCGGTTTTGTCACTTATTGGTGCGCAAAAAAATCGATCAAATGAAGCGTGTTTGCATATACATATATTTAGGTGCATGTATGGACCTTCAGGCTCGTTTCTTTTCCTGTTTTCACAGATTGCGAAAAGGAAGCTAACTTTATTGAAGGGAGACAACTTTCGAATGAATGGAAGTCACATATTTATGCAGTAATAAAAGACTATCAAAGACAGAAATTTGACGACCTAAACCTTCATACGGGTAAAATAGCCAATTTTCTTTAATATACATGTGTATTTAAAAATAATAATACGTTCTCCAATGGAAAGTCTACAAATGGGTTCAACCTACACCGGAAGTTGGTTTCTATCGGCACCGGAAGTGAAAAAATGTGTGTGAGGAAGCCATCTTCATAGCTTTATGAAAATCGGTTTGTCTCCGCGCAGTCTGATCAGGATCCATGCTGTTCGCTTACAAACCCTATTACAAGTAGAGAATCTGATCGCGAACAGAATGGATCCTGATCAGACTGCGCGGATGCGCAGGCTGGTCTGGATCCATGCTGATCTCAAACTCACTATGTTGGTTTTTGTCATGATGCGGCTCATATATAAAGTTAAACATTTCTTAGTATAAAAATCCCCGCTGATACTTTGGCTTAGCCTCAACGGTTGATGTTATGTAGAATCACAAGAACCTGGTATTTTTATCAATAACTGACAAAAGCCTTACTACTGACCCTATTTACATATATAAATAATTTTAAAATAAACTTACTATATATGTGTATGAGATATATGATCTTTACTTGGACTTGTCAATTATAAAAATATATATTTCTTTGCTTGTATAGATCAACGTAAAGTTACATAACTCATGAAGCACGTAATCCGGAAATATGATACTGTTTACCTCCCTTGTCTCTTATTGCATTTGGAGATCTTCTGTTATAACCATCATACTAAATGGAAAAATTATGATATTTCACAGTGGCTTTGTTAAAGACGATTTTGAAAACCATGCAACAATTTTTGTACGCAGTTTTAGGCAAACCGAAAATTCAATGCAATAGTTTCTTTTTTGTTGTTGCTGTGACATGAAAAAAGCATGTCCATCTCTATTTTATTAAAGGCCTGCAAAAATAGCTGACAACCCGTTTGCAAATGTTGTTTTATTAATTAATTAATTAATTAATTAATTAATTAATTAATTTATTTATTTATTTATTTATTAATTTATTTATTTATTTATTTATTTATATTATTTATTTTATTTTATTTTATTCTATTTTATTTTATTTATTTATTTATTATTTACTTATTTATCTTATTTTATTTTTTTCTTACATAAATAAAACGCATGATATCTATTTTTTAACTTATAGGTGAAAAAGTGAAACAAATCCTTTCGGCTGATAAATCGGGTATGGCATTCGGTGGAAAGAAGTGCGGAATGATACGTAAAAAGAAAGGGTTTTATCCAGTGTCACACGTGTGTAAGGTAAAGGAAGCCGATGGTGCACGTGACGCCCGTACATCTAAAAAAGAAAAGTCGACCAGGTAATGAAGTTTAAAATAAAAAAGTTCCTTTTTAAAAGTGTTTGGAGACAATAAATACATCGATTTAAATGAAAGTCGCTAAGGCCTATAATCATAAAATTTGAAAGTCTTACAGATATCGGATGAAGCACTCAAAACGGCAAACTCTGCAAAGAAAAACAAAAATATATACTCATATTTTTGTGCGATTGTTGGCCGGCTTTGAGTGAAAAGCGTTGCAAAGCTTTTTTATGATTATTCTGGAAAAAACGGGTTGAGGGAATAACCTAAAAAATTGCAGACAAAGTATTGCTACAGTTCTTCATCAGTTAGTACACAAATCTCTTGAAAATATTTCCAGTTCCATCAGTTAAAAAAACCCCTAGTGGAGTCCCTTTAATGTAAAAAATGCAAATTTATTTCAAAATTCATACAGGAGTTATTATAGATCTATATAGTAACTTCAAAATATCTACGTATTCCTTTTTTATTATCTTAATGCATTTAAATCATTTAGCACAATTAAATGAAAGTGTATTATGTAAGAGTATTTACTAATACTGTTAACTTTCGTAATTTTTATGATAAAAAATGTATTAGAATTTCAATACATTTCAGACATAATCCGATATCACGTATCATAGACGCTGTTAAAGAACCGAAGACAAAATATGCCCTTCTAACAGAGATCGCCTCTGATGACGTCACAAAGGTATACACCGAAAAGAAAAAACCAAACCGGAAAATATTCACAATGAAAAATTTATTGAAATTTTACGGGATCGAATTTAATGAGGATGAAATATGCGACTCTGTACGACAAAAAGTGCCTCCGTCCCCGACTAAAATTATAAGTGCTAAGACCATGTCGCCAGAAAAGTGTGTATTCCTCCGGCGAGAGGAGTGCAATGAAGCCGGGTACTACCCGGGCAAAATCCAAATCAGCAATAATACACCGAAACACGGAGGAGAACTCTTGGTTGAGGACATTGAAGAGTCAGCTGAAATATGAAACTAAAAATGACCACGTGCCCAATGCTTATTTCTATATATAATATTTTTATTATAAAGAATAATACATAATTAAAATCCAATTTTCAAAATGAAATCAATGTGAAATCTTCATTTTATATGTTTTGGTACTTCTGTAATATTAAACCAATGAATTTGCAAATGGACTCTTGAAAAGCCAGTTAATACTTAGTTTAAGAATGTACATTTTTTTGTAGTTTCTCAATACTAAGATTGAGGTGCTGATGACACAAAAACTAAACTCACATAGTGATAGTGACACAAAATTATTCATGACCAGTCAGATTCAACTTAACGAAAATCAATTAGTTTACAATATAAATGAATGTTTTGATTAGAGTTAAAGTTGAAAATCACAAGTTCAAATGCGAAATTATAATTATAATCTCCAAAGCCATAGACCAGAATAATCAATCAAAATGCAACTGAACAATAAACTGTTAACTGATGTGACATTTCATAAATATAATATTAAAGTAATATAATCCTTATAGATAAACTATTATTAACAATTGTTCTGCTACGTTCAGTAAAGTCTGTAGTAACTGTCCCTAAATATTCGCAAAATCTTTCATTCCTTCATCCATAGAGTTATGGAACAATTTGGATGATCATATTAGACATGCGGCTTCTCTTAATATTTTTAAATCTCGTCTCAAAGAAATTTATAAACCACATACTGTTCCTAAATATTTTGTATACGGAGATCGAAGTTTATCTGTTTACCATGCACGTATTAGAAACGAATGTAGTAATCTTAATGCGGATCTTTGTAAAAATCATCTACGAGATAACTCACTTTGTAGCTACTGTACATCCAGTATTGAAGATGCCGAACATTACTTTTTTAAATGTCCCAAATATAACGAAATAAGAGTGCAGTTATTCCGCTCAACTCGCAGTTTCCATCCCTTGAGCGTAAAGACCCTTTTGTTTGGAAAAGAATCTCTTTCTGATGAGAATAACTTATTTATTTTTGATAAGGTACAATTATTTATTAAATTATCGTGTAGATTTGAATCTTAATTTTTTTATATTATCTGTACTACTTGCCACGTTCAATTGATATCCCTACTTACTGAACTCTATCCCCCCCTTTTTTTTTTTTTTTTTTTCCTTTTATGTAATGCTTTTCTTCTTCTTTCTCCTTGTGCATTTTTCCCTAATTGCTCTACTATCATACATTTTGGTTTGTAACTGTCTTATTATTATTAGATAATTCAATATATCAGGGAAGAACCGTTTGCTGATGTTGTAAGAACTCGTGGTTCAACCCTTTTGCTACTTTTGTATTTATACTATGATAATATAATGTTATAAATGTGTAAAAAAAGAGCAATAAAATATGTTTAAATCAAAACTGTCCCTCGAAGTAAAATAGGAAGGGGGCCTAACTGCGTGTACATTTAAACACGGACAACCGTTACGATCCTTACCTATTATCACATATTTTAACACAGCCGAAAAGCTTAGAAGAAAATAGTAGGAACCATTTAACAATTATGCCTTGAACAAACAATGGTTTATATAATTCCCACCAGGTAAATTCAAGAAATATGCATTTATCATCTTATAAAATATGTTGCTAATTATATGACGTCACAACAGACAATTCGGCTGATAATAATCGTTCTTATAAACTGGATAATTATAAAAAAATAAATATCAAAAAGTAGGATAATTGGCTCGAAACGGCACCTAGTATACGTTCGCAAAAAATAATAAATTCCAAGAAAAGTTGATTTCAGTGCTCCTGGGGTTTATTCGACTAATATAAGTAGTAAAAAAGCCACATTGGAATAAGATCCCGCAGCTCATTTGTAAATAAAACATAGGTAAATAGGCATGTTCTACAAGGTCTATAATTCGTACCAGCGGTGTTTATATACAAACGTGAAAGCACGTGAACTCCGAGCTAGAGAGTGAAAGTGTTTTGTGGTGCAGGAAAACGATACAGTAACAGCGTTCAGCTCTCTCGTAAATCTACTATCACATCGTCCCAAAGCTACCTGCACCGTGTAAATTAACAAGTAGCAACACAAAAACGCGGAGATACCTTTCTACATTTTATATTGCTTTATACAAACTTTCACTTAAGTATAACTTATGCCGTTTGCTTCTGGCAATTTAAGTTTTATTTACTACAATAATACGGTAGGGGCATGTGGCTTTAATGTAGTGGGTATCGGATATCAACCAATTCCCGGATCGATGACTGGTGAATTGAAGCTACTTAGGTAAATTGCAAACGAAATGCAGTTTGTCTTTCTGCTGAGTGTGTATGTTCAATCTGTTAATGAAAACTCAACGTGGAATGTACGTTCCCTGAATTTTGTGAAGTAAACATTTTTATATGCGAATTTTGTGCATACTTTTATGGATGAGTCAGGATAGTAAAAACAATGTTTAATAGAGGTAAGTGAATTGTTTTACGTAACTTAACGTATATGAGTTCGTTATTTTACTATTCAGGCATGCATTTGATAGGAATACACGATGTAGATGAACTAATAAAAAGAAAATAACTCTTTTTTAATTTTTTTTTCCACATATCTCTCTTAAAGTACGTGTTTTAACATAATGTGGTTTGTTGGCATGATTTGAAATTATGAACATGTTAAACATGTGATTCTTTTACCTAGCTGCATTTGTGATAGGTTCGAGTCCTTATCAGTTTGAAGCTCGACAGATGGGTTGTGTGCTCAATTGTGAAGTACCCGATACCATCAGAAAAGGGAGAGTTTTTTTTTGTCATGCTTAAATGACGCATATATATCGCTTTAGATCGGTGTTAATTTGTTTGTGTGTTTTTCTGCTTGTAATTGTATGTATAGCTGATGTTGAACATGATAACGATTAGGGACAATCAAGTAAGATAAGTAAAATTACGTATATAACGTTATATCCTGGCGTCGAGCTGTTATTGTTAGAACGACTAACGTAAAACACGTTATGCAGCGTACGTTACGTAATAAAAAACTTTATTTCTCAATTTTTTCTTAGGCATATTATGCATCAGAAATGAATATTTCTTTCATTTATTAGAAAGGACAACATGAGTTTTATATAATGGTATTAGAGCATTTTAGATACTTATACCAATTGAATTTGAAATTATCAATTATAAAAGTAACAAAATGTAAACAAGGTAGTATTTATGTTCGTGAAGTTGGCAGCCTAGCAGCTACACGATATTGAAAAAAGGCGTGGAATGATCTAAAGAAGGGCTACTAATGTATTTCCGACTGTTTTCATGTTTGTACTATTCTTAGTTTTCTTTAGGCTGCTAGGCTGCCAGGCTGCTAGGCTGCCAACTTCAGACTAGGGGCTGCTAGGCTGCCAACTTTACGAACATGTAGTATTTTGCCTTCCATACAAAATACTTAATCACTATCTTATATTTAACCAATGAGTGCCTTTTTCGAAAATATAAAAGCACAACAAAATTAATAAACTAAATAAAAGCATGTCTGAAGCATAATGTGCTTTTAATTCACAAACTCGGGAAGCTACACATGTACCAAAATATCAGCAAAGTCGATGCGTTTAATAGAAATTAAATGAAATGCATTTAAAATTAATGAAAGACACCGGAGATCATTTTTAATGTTTTCAAATATATAAATACTAGAATGTAAACGTATTGTACTTTTAAAGACATATCTAAATATCTGTGTTAATGATAAATTCATTTTTGGTGATAAATTTATTGACCCTGACATCTACAAACGTATAACGTTTATTTTAAAACAAGTTTTTTTTTCTGCACGCCGATATTCAGTTCAGTGTTTTAACATAATACACCCTTTGATTATTATCTTTTGACCAGGTATTTGTGTACATTTTCAACTTGGTTCTCGTTATTATTATTTTCCAAACATTTGAACATGCTAAAAGGGAAAACAAAACCATCACATGTTAGGTAATTAACCTTTACCCAGGTCAAAGCATGTTGCTTGTTACAAGGTAAAGAATCGTTATGTAACAAACAATAAAACAGCAATAAAACCAGTGTCTATCATTCCAAAATCATATAGTTTAAAGACTAGTCATGTCTTTCTCTCAATTAAACCAGTGTCTATTATTCCAAAATCATATCGTTTAAAGACCAGTCAGGACTTTCTCTCAATTAAACCAGTGTCTATCATTCCAAAATCATATTGTTTAAAGACAAGTCAGAACTTTCTCAATTAAACCAGTGTCTATTATTCCTCAATCATTTAGTTAAAGGCCAGGCAGGACTTTCTCAATTAAACAAATGTGTATCATTCCTCAATCATATAGTTTAAAGATCAGTCAGGACTTTCTCAATAAAACCACTGTGTATCATTCCTCAATTATATTGTTTAAAGACAAGTCAAGACATTCTCTCAATTAAACCAGTGTGTATCATTCCTCAATCATATAGTTAAATGACAAGTCAGGACTTTCTCAATTAAACCAATGTGTATCATTCCTCAATCATATAGTTTAAAGACAAGTCGGGACTTTCTCAATTAAACAAATGTGTATCATTCCTCAATCATATTGTTTAAAGACAAGTCAGGACTTTCTCAATTTATCCAGTGTGTATCATTCCTCAATCATATAGTTAGAGACCAGTCAGGACATTCTCTCAATTAAACCAGTGTGTATCATTCCTTGATCATACAGTTTAAAGACTGGTCAGGACATTTTCAATTAAACTAGTGTCTATTATTCCTCAATCATATAGTTAAAAGACAGGTCAGGACTTTCTCAATTAAACCAGTGTCTATCCTTCCTCAATCATATAGTTTAAAGACTAGCCAGGACTTTCTCAATTTAACCAGTGTGTATCATTACTCAATCATATAGTTTAAAGACTAGTCAGGACTTTCTCAATTAAACCAGTGTGTCATTCCTCAATCATATAGTTTGAAGACTAGTCAGGACTTTCTTAATTAAACGAATGTGTATCATTACTCAATCATATAGTTTAAAGACAAGTCAGGACTTCTCAATTAAACCAATGTGTGTTATTACTCAATCATATAATTAAAAGACAAGTCAGGACTTTCTCAATTAAACCAATATGTACCATTCCTCAATCATATA